AGTGGTCTGGAGATGGTAAACATGGACAAAACCTATTGTCCATGGTCTGTTCTCTACTACCTATTATTTTTAAGGCTGTAGAAAATGTTGTTATTAAGGGTTCCTTTGATCTGGGTACAGATTAGTAGGAGCCATTTTGGACTCTTCTATGCTAAAAAGACCATTATTTACACCTTCGATGTTATAGACAGTATTGCAGCTGTGGTCCTCAAATCAATCCTCAATCAGGTTGTTATTGTATATGCATTTGTATATTCATACACAATATATATGGCTTTATTCATATTCTACTGAGCACAGCTGTGTTTACAGTGTTTTCCACCTTTCACTGATGATTTTTGTGAGAAGATCTCTGATGTGATCTAAGAATCCTCCATTGATATGAGCCTTACAACCTCCATGTGTGTGACAGACACAGTTTAATCCGATTAAAACATTTCCCCGAGACTTCATCTCTACAAGTAGGTACTCAACTCTAATCCATAATTTGATCCAATCTGTCAGCGAATAACCGAATCCCAGCAACCCTTATTCATTTGTTTTGGTCGTGCCCAAGTTTAAAATTAGTTCTCGGGTAAGGTTTTTAAAAGCTTTTCCTGTGTTTAACAAAATCACATCCAGAACCAAGGCTGATGCTGTTGCTTCCTATATGAATGGACATGTAGCCTTCCTCCTGTTAATAGCCAAGATGATGTGATGGTTCATCTGAAGAGGGAGAAGTATAGCAACCAGTCCTGGACTTAAAAAATAACAATAACATGGTGATAGTTAAAAAGCAGGATTTACCTGTTAGCTTATGATTGCTCCATGATGGTAATTTAATACAAATCTAAAACACATCATTCTGTGAAAGTGGAATTTTAGCCACAATTTTAATATATATAAATAATATAGAATGGAGATGTAGGAATATAAACTTTGTTTTGGAGCAGCTGGTAACGGCACAGAACAGAAAATACACCAAGCCATCTGTTTATCTTTCAGCATATAACCTGTTCTACATGATCTGCTGGACAGATTCCTTGGAAAGCACAAGAAAAAAGTGAAATCCTTTACATACATTACAGTGTAATATGTGTGTGTCTACTTCTGCCTATAGTGTGTACTACAAGAAGTCTTAACTTATCTTTCTGCTTGTGATTTTATGTTTCTATGTGTTGGACAGTCCTCCAGGGGATGTGGTGTGGACTAACTAAATAAAAATATATGAATAATAACTGAACGTTTATAGTGTCAGTATCATTGCATTAAACAAGAGCATCCTTTTTTTGCCGTCCTCCGCATAAACTTGCTCACCACGAGCAGCCCATTATAGAGGAAAGCCCTGGAGATGTGGAGATATTGCAAGAAATAGGACTTCAGCTCCAGGCCCTTATCTGTCTTTGCTTTACTTTTCCCCTGCACCCCTTTAGCCCCACTGAGCAAATAAACATTAACAAAAAACCAACAGAGCACTGGGTTGTTCCCAAAAAGTGGGAAAATAAATCGCCATTGGGCACCACCACCCATCAAATACACCATAAGTATCATCTGCCCCGGCCCAGACAGACACATCAAACGAGCAGAGTGGATGATTCCTGCCCTCCCTCAAGACTTACTGTACTTTCTCCCCATCTGCCTCACTGAGCATCTTAAATGGAGCTGCCCATTGACCTGAGTGGGCTCATAAATCACCGTGATGGCTTCCAGAGGTGGGTTCTCTAAAAGGTAAAAGGGTCATAAAATTGACCTTTTTTCCTCTTTTTTTCTGCCCCTGATACACTATTTTTAAAAAGGGAATCATTCTGTATTCCCATCAAGAGTTTTGACTGCATAGAAAACGCGTTGGGACAGATCGGGATACAGTTTGCGTGAACATTTGTGCTCATTAATGAGTGTGTTTCAATGCTCCTGCTGCTGAATCTTCTAAACACAAAAAGAGCTCCAATGCAGCAGGAGGAAAAGAGAGTCTAATTCTTAATTGGAAACAAGAAACTAATGAGCTATGAACACTGAACAAACCAGCTGATTAGTGAATGAGAACAACAAACATTTACTCAAGTACTGCAGGCTACTTAATAAAGGTCCAGTGTGTAAGATTAAGTCTCTTTTTACAGTTTGGTATCTGTACTTTTACTTCTACTAGGATCTGAATACTTCCTCCAGCACTGGTCACATCAGAGGAGGTTTATTCAACAGTATTTTGAGGTAATTCCTACAAACTAGATTCACACAGATGTCATGTAATGTACAGGCTGAATACTGAGCCACAAAATTAACAGCGGGATCAACGGCACTGAACCAGCACTGCTTTGTGCTGAGGTGAGTTGGAGCTTCAGAAAAGGTGCTGAAATGTTCCCGCAAATGTGTTTTTGGGTAAACTGTTTTACTAAGTGTGCCTGCCAACTGCAGAAGGAACAAACTGTTCACATTATTGTGAGAAACCGTGTCATTAATATTTGGAAAGACTTCCGTTGAGTCTTTCAAATGTGATGTTTTTGTGTCAGTGAGTCAGTGTGAGCTACAGCAGGTACTTCAAAAACTCAATAAATCACACTAAAAGTAATTTAATCAGTGGATTAAACTTTGGGTAAGAGGGAGAAGAATTAATGTTCATGTTTTTTCGTTGAACTTTACCCTTAAAAGCTGAAGTTTCAAACCCTCATGCTGTTTTTAATGGATTTTAATGCTACATACATGCAGATACTAGGACTGTGAAAACACACCTATTTTTCTACACACAGGTTTTTGAAAAATGATCTCCCAGTTGGCAAAAGTTTTCAAAGACACTGGAGTATGATTATTGAATCATTCTGGCCAAAGCTGCTGGTTAAAATGTTTTTTTCTATTGTTCTGGCTTTTCAGGATGATGTTTGGAGAAGATAAGCCTCTTGACTTTAATTGGGGAAATGATTGACAAAAGAAAATAGTACCTAGTCCAAATTGTACCCCCAAACAGAAGCAGCATCACAAATCAATACAGAAGGCAACCAGGAAATCAGAAAAATCACGAAATTATTTTTATATCCAAAAAGCATGAAAGCCAATTTATACATTTATACAGTATGTTTCTTGTAACACAGCCACTAGGTCAGCTCACTTCATCACTATTTATGAAGAAAGTTATAATTTTGGCTTGACGGCTCGCACCAGTCAGTTCGGTGCTGGCTCCCACATCCAGTATTACCCAGGGTGCCCAGCAGAAGGTCAAAGCCTGCAAAGAGGCCAGGTCTGAAATATGCCTGTATTCAGCCTAATGACCCACAGCACAATTAACACTCTGCAGCTCAGCAGGTCAGCGTGTGCGGATACGGACGTGTTTATTGGCTGTTGGCTTTGGTTCCCTGGCGGACCCTGTCGCGCCCAGCTGATCATCTTCCAGACTGAAGCTGGAGGCGCTCCAGTCTGACACATGCACACAGTACAGTGGAGCCCAGAAGCCGCACAGACGGAGGCTGACACACATAGCAGCACAGAGGAACCAATGAGACACCGGTAAAGTGATGCTATTTTCATCCTCACGTGATGCACAGTGAAGAGCTTTGTTTCACTTTCCTCACTTTCCTCGAAACAGGTCTGTAAATGAGGTCTATTTTTACTCATCCGTGAGTTGTGACAAAATGAAAAGGTGTGAATTTATTAAAGTTATGCAGGCTGATATAGTTGTCCCACATGATCGCATGTACAGTAGAGCTCCTCTTGATGCTTTCAGGGTCACAGCAGGCAGCTGTTGGGTCCCAGCTGACTGGTCAACAGCAAAGCAACTGGAGATTACCCTAAAGCCGAACCCCTAGTTATATAATCACACATTCTGTGCTCTTATCACCTCAGCTCACATCCCACATGTCAGTGAATTATAATGCAACTGACCCATTTTTTTCACAGAGAAGAGTAGCGTCTTTTCCATCTTTATGGACCTAATGGGGATGAGCAGTAAACTGGGTGTGACTGCTTTTAGAGAGGACGCCCTCGTTCCCTTCAAAATCACATAAGCTGCATGATTTTAAATCCTTTTGTCCTTTTTATTGACTTTTGAGCTCACGCTGTTTACTGACTCGGAAAAGACAGGCGAAGGACGTTCTATAGTTTTGGGAGAGCGTGTTTGGCTGTACAGTACAGTACGGGCACAAGAGCAGAAAACACCTGCACACACGCACACCTGTCCCTGAAGATTTCACTCAACTCAGCTCAATTATCTAATCAGGAGAAGCAGCACAGAAAGCAGAGAAACTCCCCCAAGATTCATGCAGCTCAGATCAGTTCCTCCTCCCATGTGTTGAATGTGCAGACACCGAATGTGCCAGACCCCACAAAGCAGGTGCACCTCATCGAAGCCAGATTTTAGACCCACTGTCTCCTAGCAACAACACCAGAAGAGGAGAGCGCCACCGGCTCCAAGGGCTACCGCTATTTACCAAAATGTCCTCTGGCTTTGTTTGGCTGTTTTGGGGAAATCTAGGCCACCGGTTTCCGGTGCACCAGACTAAACCAGTTAAGAGACAGAAGACAAATTAGTATGTATTTGTTTTTTGGTTTGCAGCAGGTGTGAGGTATAAATGAGTGCTCGTTGGTGTTCCTCCAGGTGATGATCAGGTCATAGAGCTACTGGATGAAGTTTTTCCAGGCCAGATATCCTGCAGACTGCCTCCAGCCAGTCTGTTAATGCACCTCATTAAACAAACAACACACACACACTCAGTATTTACTTTGTCCAGGTTGCTGTTTCGATTCCAAGCTGTTTTCACAACTAATGCAAAGCACATATTTATATTAAAAATAAAACATCCAGGTATGTAGAACTATTATTGCTTAAAGCTTTTATTAATATTAATATTGATGTACAGTATTATACAGCAATTAATAATGAATATACACTTTTAAGATATGTACAGATGTTTTATCAATTGTATTTAATCTTTATTTAGTATGCATTTGTGGAATAATGTTCAGCTTGTCACTGTGCCAAAAACAATGGAAAACCGTTATTACTCTATATTCTGATTTGACCTCTGAACGATTAATTAAGTTAAGATTAATTAATAATGAGTAAATTCCTAATTTTTTCCTCAACGTTGTTTGTAAACAAGCTTTGTAATTTGCTTATAATTAATAGAGAGTGTGTCCGATCTGTCAACCTCCAATTAATTAATTCAAATTCAAATAATTGGTAGCATAACCAAAAAGTCGGCAGCTGAGCTGAACATGCAAAAATGTAACATTTGTAAACAAGCTAGCATGCAAACAAAGTTTACATTAATAAATGAATGAATATTTAAAGGAAACTGCAGGAAATTATGAAATTACCAAACTTTATTGGCTGAGAAAACTCTCTACTCTACTTCTTCAGCTAGTAAAACTTTTATAAAACCCCTACTGCCTCTAAAATTGCATCTCTAAGGATAAAATCCAGCTGCTTCTCTTAGTTCATTAACAACTCTCTCACCAAGCTGTGGCCCACTGACGTGTCAATCTTTACAAACTTGTAACATGTTGTGCAGCCGAGTGTAAAATATCTTTGTTTCAAACTCTAGTAGAGATCCCAAATGTTGAAAAGATACAAAATGCTTCATGGATTTGAATATGTGGAAACATGAAATAGCTTCACTTAAGAGCTGCTGGAACAAGCTGATACAGAATGTGTACAGTGCTGTTATAATATGATTTTAATAACCTTAAAGGTACATAAGTGGAAAATGTTTGGGGTTAAATGATTATATTTTGGCGATGATACATTATCTTCATCTACGTATCTTTTGTTTGGAACCACACACCTATTTGTGCTTCACTTTCTGGCATACATACGCTGACTGTATGCTTTTATTAGTGCACTTTGTGGCGGAAGAGTAACACGAATGTGAACCATTAAAAACTAGACTCATAAATCTGCCATGAATGACACATGCAGTCATTATAATGAAACTAATAATTACTCCTGTGTGTCAAAGGAATGTGGTTTAAAAACATCTGAGGTATTTGAAGTGTTTTAAAAGTTTCTAGCAGCACACACAGATGAGGCAGTCCATGTTATACCATGAAATGTTATCTATTGTCATTGTGCCTTTATTACAGAGGCCGGTGCTTGATGTGAGTGCCGGCCTTCCTTTCTCATTGTGGGCTGTCCCAGCAGAGATTAGGGGCCTGGGCTGCTGAATGGAGGCGAGAGGCACCTCTTTTTCTCCTCTGGATGCTTTCACTCATCATGAATGAGTGTAATTCTGGGAAATGTGCCCCATGAACAGCGGAGGAAACCCCTAAATCCAGCAGAGCTCCTGAAGGGATCTGTCTTTGACAAACGACTTCCCCCGCAAGGGGAACGGAGCCCGCGGATCAGTGAGTGCCTCTAATAAAAAGAGTGAAGGCGTGATCTTATGCGTCATGAAGCTTCTGGCTCATTCTGCCCGTTTCTTTATTTCAATCTGAAAGGAAAGGTCAATGAGAAGTGATGCTGCAGGTAATTTATCTATCTGCTCATGCACTCTTATGTATGATATATTGCTCTACTTTAAGTCACATACCGTTCACAAGAGGTTGAAAGAGGATATTTACAGCTTTGTCAAGCAGTAATATTCCCCTGTAGCAGCAGAACAAAGGAGAATAATGATAAAACAAACAGTACTTACAGTTCTAGCACATTCTCGTCTCAAAAGGTCAAACATCAGAAAGCTGCTGAATGAGTGACAATGACAGATGCTGTCAATTCTAGAGGGGGTTATACTGTCGGTGGTTAGCAGAGGGGTGGGGGTTCAGGACGGGAACAGACAGCTGAGTGGGCCCTATGCTCTCCAGAGTCCGAACAGCTGAGACTAGGAGGGCCCGTGCAGGCAGCGGAGAGCGGCCTCTGGGACTCGGCCTTTTGATGAGGAAAGTCCGTTGAGGAAAGGAGATGAAGTCTGTCTGCACACTTAGAGCTGTTCCTTAAGCTGAGCGGAAGCCATTACCCAAATCTCCGCAGAGTTGACAAAAAGCTGAGCGCAGAAAAACTGGCTTACAGGCACTCAGCTAATAGACAGCTGTGCTCAAAATAGAAGAGAAACGATAGGGGGTTCTGCACTGTATCTGGAACAAACAATGCACAACTGCTGCACACTATCACAAACAAGCCGCTCTGCATCTATTTCACCCACAACGCTCTACAACGGTTTTGCTGTTGCTCAACAGATATCCAGCAGTTGCATGGTAAGATTAGACAGACTGTGGCCTTGCAGTACCTGACTCAGTGCATTTCGGTTCAACAGTCTAACAACATACATTCAATTGAGGAAAACCGTCCACCGTGAGGACCTCCTGCTCTCAGAGACAAAAAAAATCTTTCTGACTGATTTCCAGAGTCAGGAATGCTAAAAGCTCTAAGACATACTTCATGGTTGGGCATCAAAGGATCTTGGGGGTACTCGAATGCTCAAGCTTTCATCTCCACTCTGCTGGTTAAGTAAGCCTTGAGTGAATGATGGGAACACTTCACACAAGGAGAGAAAAAAAAAGGAAAACACTTGATGTAAAGCAACTCAATTTTTTATGAATTTAGCATGAAAAAAAACACAAAATTGACTTCAGTTGAAGCAAAAATGTTTTCTCTTTGAAGCTCTCCCTTGATAGTGTTATTAACACCCATAGATGGCACACCTACAAACACAAACTACTCTCTCAGGACAGTCTCTGGAGCACCACAGGTAGCGTGGGATGTAAGTGATCTAAGTAGGGCCTCCCAACAGACCAGACCACCTCACACAATAACTCAACGAGGGTCAAGTTGAGCGCTCAATGATGTGCTCAGTTACTCTCCCACCGCAGAACATGACCTCTGTCGGCCAGGATCGCTCCACTGGGCCCACTGTCCTTCCTCCTGATTGCCATCTGAGCAGTGACATCTGTTTTCAGGCTATATTTACTAAACTTGGACAGGAGCCGATTCTGAGACTCCCAGGAGGCTCCTTGTTGGGTCTAAAGGGCATTGCAGCATCCACAATCCATAAAATGAGGCATGTTAGACATAAATGAGTGCTTTAAGGGTATTTAAATGAGGTTGTCATATGGTGTGTGGTGTGTAGTTAAAGCCAACTAAATACTAGGGGCATCTCCTTTTACAACACCGCCTACAGACACTGAAGGAAAACATAAACAAGGCAGCATTATGTTTAATGGTGACACAAAATAGCTAATTTATAAACAATATAGTTATTTTTTTCTAATATTTTGATAGTTCATCTCTACACTCATCAATTCTTTCCACTCTTGTGTTTTCTTTGCTGTTCAGAGGAGTGAATTTTCATCTGATTAGATAATATCTATATGCATCTATGTAACTGTTGTGATGTCCATACCTGATGGTGTCTGGAGGTGTGGACTTAAATGTCATGAATAAATATAGCAGCGGTTTATCTAAATTTATCATAAAGTAGGTGGAAGGTGATGTTAAAGGTCAGGTTAAAACATAATAAACATGACTTTTTGTCTTTGATGTAATGCTGTGATGGAAGTCTTTGGTGCAAAACAAAACAAATACTATCCGTAGGCTGGTCAGGAGGGTTGTTTTTATACGACTATATGAGTGAAATAACACCATAATACATTCTATTCTTTTAGGTTTTGGGTTAATAAAAGTGCCCATATTCCTTGCTAATAGAAAGAATGCAACAGCGTTGGTAACAGCCCATTTTAGCACCGAACGATGCTTCCAAGGATGAAGAGGCTGCCATGGCGGACCATCTGGACGCTGGACGTTTCACCACTCGGAGGTGAGGGATCATTTTTACGAGATGCATACTAAGAAGAGATGAGATGATGCAAGATATTATTGTTGGTGAAAACAGAAGTCGGAGTCCTTGTTGTTTAACCTGTTTCAGAGGTGGAGGAGGAGGACATAGTTGTATTTGCTGAAAACAGTATCCAGCTGAATGATCAAACCTGCATAGAAAAGTCTAGGAATTGAACCTGGGACCTTCCTGCTAATGAGGGTTCAGCCCCGGCGGGAACACAAATTAATAATAAATCAAGTACTTTCAGAAAGGTGAAGAGACATGAGTCCCGTAGGGTAACAAATGGTTCATCAAAGTCTTGTCATCCCCGCATGACGTGGCCATGGCGGGTCGGTAACGCGTGACCAAAGCTGCCTCTCGGACCGTGCCACGAGATAATGAGTGGAGGTGATCGGGCTGTCAGATAAGGGTGAAATACTCTGATGTGGAAACACCGTCTGTTGGAGTAAGGGAAGCGTGTTGTTTTCAAAACAGGAACACTGGTGGTTACTCATGGGTTCATGCATGTTCAAATGATACACAAAACAGTTGGGATTGGGGAGTGTCTCACCTTCACGATAACGGTCAGTCCAGGTAAACATTGTTTATGATGTAAAAACCTCAGTGAGGCAGCAGTTGGAGCATCTGCAGCTTCTGTAATTTGATGTATTAAAGTGAAACAGAATATGTGAGAAGAGGGGTCTTAAGATTTGATTTGTTTCTGGAACAGGAAGGATTTGTTTTGATATATAAACACACTATATTACACCACATTCTTCTTTATGCAATTGTATGTGATTGAAGGGATTAACGGGATTAGCCAGAGGGGAAAAGCACCCTTTAGGGTTTATAAATTATAACTATTGGCTTTATTTAATACATCAATTTTGATCTGCCAAATCTATTTTTGGTGGCGTTTTTTGTTTCTTGGTAATAATGCAGTTATAAAGGCGAGTAATCTATTATTAAATGCTTAATAAGTTTCATAAATGGAGAAATAGATGGATTGAAATAGATTTTGGTCCAGATCGTCTGTAGCCCTTTTTCCAGAAGGTCAGAGTTCATACAGTCTAATACTTGACAACACAAATTGTCTCTTATTAATATATTATTATAATATTATAATGAATCTCTATACCTTAGTAAGTGATTTACTAACCCTTAACAAGGCAATTAGTTCCAACTTCTGATTGCCCTTTAAGAAAGTGGAACCAGTTCATGTTTAAGACGCAGAGTGTGTCATCAAAAATTATTTAAATTTAAAAGAAAGAATATTGTTTTTGACATATATATTCAGCACACAGTGAAAGACAACAGAACAATAAATGCAATAATAAAGTGAAAATATATATATTTATTTCACTGTGTTGTTAAGCGTGTAGACATAATTCCACCTTGAAAAGATGCAAACAACAACAAGGAGACAGCAGCTAACTGAAATGGAAAAAAGGACGACTGAACGAACAGCGTTTATTGTCAGCAGGATGTGACAGGGTGTGCAGAATTAAATTCAAATATTTACCTCCAGCTCTGCACTTCCATTAAAAAGTGGTGTCGCTCTCCTCTGCAGGGATGTGCAGGTCAAGGAGACTGAGCGGGCAGACACACTGAGCTGATGCTGATGTCTTTGAGGCCGGCGGGCGGCTCATGGATCTGGGCAGCGGCGAGGGGAGATATGTCTGACTTTAGTGTGAATAAAACATGCCGTGGCATGTTGGTAGCGACGATCGAGGAGGTCCCTTGCATTATTCATGTGGAGTAGCAGGAGGGTGAGGGGTTGATGGTGGTGGTGGTGGTGGTGGTTGGGTGTGTTGTTAAAAAAGGAAAAGGAGGAGGAAAAGGGGTGTGTATGTGTGTGGGGGGGGTGCAGGAGGAGGCTGATACGCGCTGCAGAGGCATATGAAGGTGTGAGGGTGTTGCCAGGCTGTAAAGACCAGAGAAGGTCGTCCCACACAGCAACTGGGCTCAGTCAGTTATCATCACCCTGAGGCCACTCTCACACACTGACAACGATCTCCCTCCTCAATACCGCAGGCTGAAATGGTCACTGTGAAAAGCAAATTTATGGTTTCGACACACTGGAAGACAAGAACATCAACTTGAGCTTCCAAAAATGTCAAACATACATTTAATTTATGAAACGTGAGCAAAAAAATACAAAATCCGCCACATCAGAAGCCAACTTTGATTATGTGCGGCTGATTAATAGATTTAGCCACATTTAACAGCAAATCAATACAAAATGTTTAAACTGGGTGCTCTGACATGTCAGAGAGTGATGAGGATGGGACGTCTGTAGCAGCGGTGGTGATATCCTCAGCCCTACTAACCCCAGAGACGGGGGGGGGGTTCTCCCATAAGAGCTGAATAAGTGTTTTCCTTCTGCAGAGCGGAGGAGGAAATGTGTTCCAGTCAGCAGCTCTTCTTCCAGTCAGGGAGAGGCCGACAGACAGAGCTGCGAGCCAAAGCTGATGCTACTGCACCACCTGCAGGCTCAGATCAAGTTTGTGTGTTTGTATGTTATTTGTGTGTAGGTGTCTACGCAGTGGGTGTGAATAAGTCAAAATAATCTTGACACTGGGAAGTTTACTGCCAAGTCTATCATTATTGTACCAGTCGAAAGCAGATAATGTCAAAGAGCAATGAAAAGAAACAGATACACAACCTTGATTGATTTTTATTCTGGGTGCAACCTTGATTAACAGCTGCAGTGGATGTGGATTGTGAAGTGTTATGATGTGAAATTTTATTGTTTAAGAAGAAGAAATGGCTTGTTTTTAATGTGTTGGATAGAAATATTGCAGGGAAGACAGCAGCTGTAGTTGCTGGTGTCCATTCATTTCTCATGTGACACGCCCTGCAGAGTAATAGGTCAGTGATGAGAGTGCTGCGGAGGATGCTGTGCACTGCAAAGAATATGGATGTTAGCAAGTCATATTCAGACCTAAAAATGTATTATAATACAAGTGAGATAATTATACTTAAACTTGAATCTCTCTTGATGCTGGTGGAGTGATCTGCCAATAGGATGTGTTTCTTTTAACTCTCGCAGACAGAAAACTCCATAAAAGAAATGCATTGGAAAACAAGTGCAATGATAATTAATAACCCCCACGTGCAAAAAAATCTGCTCACCTAAAATTCTTATTTAAGCTGGACATCTCTTACAGCGCCCTTTCTAGGAATGTAAGATAATCCTGAAGCATGGCATGAAGGCTAGAGGTGGAGAGGAACAGTGTAACTGGTGCCAACACGGCTTGATTACAGTAATGTGAACGCTCAGTAGCAGCTGGTGCTTATCGGCTCCGGCTAAAGTCAGCAGCAGCAGCACTGCACCGGCTGACACCCCTCCCTCCTCTCCACACACACACACAGACAAACACACACACAGACACCTACAGACACCTACACACACCTACACACACACACACACACACTGCCGGGTTTCTGATTCAATATAAATACAATCCATCAGCCTTTGGAGGGAAACATTGTAGAGCCAAAACCACTGCTGTTTTTACACAAGTATAAATAGATTTAAGTGAGTGTCACTGACATTATCTATGATGTTGAAGATTAAACAGATTAGTGACATTTTCATATCAATAAATCTAATTTCTACAACTAGTTCTGAATAATACTGCTGGCCTATGATAGTCAAGACAAAATGTGAATAAATACGTACAAAATGTATTTTATTTGGCTTTCCTCTGTTTGTCAAAGAAATATATCTTTTGGTTTTCTGCATAAATACTGACACAAAGAACGCCTGACTACAGAGAGGACGAGGTAAAGATGTTTTATTTTCCTGTTGAGATCACAAAACAGAAAACAGTCTGTTTCCTGATCTCAACATAAATAATTATTCTGTGATCTTGATGCGACAATCTGTCAAAAAAGCTCAGCATAACATTAAAAACCTCATGTGTGTCAGAAAACAAAAGAGGAATAATTACACACATACAACAATTAACCTGCTATCTTAAATGCAGAATATCATAGAACAGCATGGCACAGTAGCAGCACACATCACATGTGAAAGGAGAAGTTTTGAGAAATACAATTTTCAATTCAATTCAAAAATACTGTATCCGTCCCTCAGGGGACAATTTAAGGCAAGCAAGTGTGCAAACAGTAGTTGAGAATTAATTTACATACATAAAAAAGTCATCTAGAAATACAAGTATGGAATAGGTTAGAAGACATACACAAGGATTAGGATACGTTCAAATGTGTAGGTGCATCCATTAGTCTGTACACAAGTTAACTGTCTAATGGATTCTGGAATAAAACTTCCTGCTCACACCATATTGTCCCAAATCCCTCTTCCAGTGAGACACTTTTGTCTGGCCTAAGAATGGCATTAAATATCTCAGTTTAACATTCCCCCCATAATGATGGATCTGATCAAAACAAATTTTGACCCCCTACTGGACAGACTGATATAGAGCGCTGGTCTCCATTGTATCTCTCTATGTGGGAAAAGGAAAACATCATTAAAATGATTTGTGCACCGAAATTCAAGTACTTGCTACAGGCTCCCCCAGTCCGAATTCCTTTGCACTATTTCAAACAATTTGATCAACTTTGTTATACATTTTTATGGAATAACAAACGCCTCAGGATGAACCTGCGAAAGCTGCAGAGGCCAGTGGACAGAGGAGGGTTAGGTGTGCCCAACTTGCTGTTTTACCATTATGCGTTCCCCATCAGGCATATGGCACAGTGGTCTTTGCCCCCGGAGAGAGCCCCCCCGTGGTTCCACCTCGAAAGCGCTGTGTCCTCCCCTCTTACACCCATAGCATACATCACAGCTAAATTAGTCCAACAGAATCAGTCACATCCCATTTTGTCCCACATTCATGGGTCTGGAAGAGAGTGGCTAAGATCTTTAAATTTGATCCGTATCGGCACCAGTCTGGCAAAATCCCAAGCTCTGTATGAATAAATCTCCCTTCCTCTGAAGTTCTGGTTGGAAAAAGGGATTAGGGTGCTCGGAGACTTGTACCTTGATGGGACATTAAAATCTTTTAAGGCACTTAGACAGGAATTTCACTAACCACGTAATCAACAATGGAAGTATTTTCAGTTAAGACACCTCCTGGTGCAGGTCTTCGGCTCCCCTTCATTAGTCCCACCGAGCGGTGACATGTTAGAGAAGGTCCTAACAATTTTTGGGCGCGGCCATGAAGCCTCTGCCTCGGACTCTAATATATTGTCCCTTAAAATGACATGGGAAACTGACCTAAAGGTGTCATTCACAAATGCAGAATGGGGCAGAATTCTTAGAAATGGGAAAAAAATGTCAAGGGAACTGCGAACGCGACTTATCCAATTCAAAATACTGAATAGAATTTATTGGACAACATCCAGGCTGCACAAGGTTGGTTTGGTTGACAACTCAGAATGCTGGAGGTGTCGGGACAAAAATGGTACTCTAGTACACATGCTCTGGAGTTGCCCAAAAATTCAGGCATTTTGGTCTTCCCTACATGCAATCGTAGAGAAAATTATCAACCAGAATATCCCGTTCACCCCTAGTCTGTTTATTTTGGGTGACCCCTCTGCATTAAGTGATCTGACCCCTCCACTTTCTAACTGGACCCAGACTGTCCTCATGTTAGGCCGGAAAATTCAAAATGGAAAGCCTCCTCTGCACCAGCACTATCTTTGTGGCACACCTCTCTTGGTCAGCTGGCTGCCCTAGAACAATTGTCCTATAGGTTGCTTGATAAAGTGGAGGAGTACAACTTGAAATGGGGGAAGTATCATTCATACACTGCAGACATTTAATGGCGTTCCGGCTCATAAACATAGCATTTAACTAGAAAACATGACTGAGGGATACATTTTGATAGAATACTGTATCTATATACAGGCAAGGTTGTAAACTCAAGTACTCTGTGCTGTCTTTTTATTTTATTTTTTAAAATGTATTTTTAGTTTTAAAGTCTTTGTCTATGGTCGCGCTATGTATTCCTTTAATTCTATTTTGTTGTATGTGTATTTGCTTCATTTTTCTGATGGATATGTTTGTATGTTTACATTTTCTGAAAAACCAATAAACTGTTACTCATAAAAAAAAAAAAATAAACTTCCTGCTGTTTGTTTCACATACAGGCAATCTAAAGCACATTCCTGATGGCAGCAGCTTAAAGGACTTTTCTGAGGACTTAAAGCTGCACTAGTGGTCTTTGTGTTTAACCAATAAACCAGCAGATGAATGAAAAAGTTCAAACCTTCAGTAAAAGAAAAATAGAAAAATTGCCAATATTTTTTTATATACTCAGAATTAATTTTCCCTAAATCACAATCTGCAGTCAAACACAATCCCACTTTGATGTCGAGAGATAGACGAGAAGATTGATACCATTCTCAAGTTAGTATGGTAACTATGAGTCTGGAGCCAGGAGACAGTAAGCTTAGCTTAGCATAAAGTCTGGAAACAGAGTATATAGTGCGTGCATAGGTAAAAAACAAACAAACAAACAAAAACACTTCTAAAGCTCACTAATAAACATGTTTAATTCATAGAAATACAAGTTGTATACAATATATACAATTTGACAACAAGATATTGAGAAATAAGTTTCACACATTACGCCTCAAAACCTCATTTGTTATTTTCACACGTTGGTTTATGAGATTACATGATATGAATTCATGAACCTGAGAGGGGCTGGTAGGCTTTATTTTTCAGCTATGTGTTTCCTCCTGTTCCCAGTCTTTATGCTAAGCTAAGCTA